TTAGAACCATCGATGAGAGAGAAACATCGATCAGCTGCCTCCTGCACATCTCCCACTGGGGGATGTGCCGCAACCCAAGTACATGCCCTTGACCGGAATCGAACCCGGGACCTTTCAGTCTGCAGGCCGACGCTCTATCCACTGAGCCAAACCGGTTTTGGCTTATTATCTATTTTTAAAGAATAGTTTAATAACTTTTAGAGAGAGAAGGAAGAGGGAGAGAAACATTGATGGAAGAGTGCCATATCACTTGGAGTGCGGGAAACGAGTTAAGTCGGCTCGCGTGAATTGCGCGTACTCCGCGGGAGCTGTCTTTAACTTGGTTCATATAGATTTGCGGTGGAGTGCGGGAAACGTGTAAACTCGGGCCGATTGTAACTGCGTATTACCAAATATTTGTTTGTAATCCACCCTTTCGGTGGATGGAACAAAACCAAAAGACAGAGCCATCTTATATTTTGGCGGGAAATTCACCCGCACTCCAAGTGATATTGGCCAGCCACCTCCTGCACACCCACTTCTGTGGATATAGCCACAGCACAGGCACATATCCCACTGATAATCAAATCCACAACCTTGTGCTGCATGAGAGGACGGACAAGTACTGACCCACACTGGCCCTGGTGGTATATTCCATTTAGATCACAATTTGCTAATCTCGGTAAATTTAAACATTCATCTACTCAAAAACCCAGATTATTCACTGTAGTTTTGACTTATACACATACATGGAATTATACAGAAATGTTTGTAACATCTTTGTTAGAAATAACCAAGTATTTATTAAAATGGACAAATTGATGGACAAATTGATGGTGATATATCAATGATAAGAATATCTATCACAGCCCTAACTGGTTTGGCTCAGTGGATGGTCTGCTGAATGAAGGGTCCCAAGTTCATTTCCAGTCAAGGGCATAAACCTTGGTTGCTGGCAAATCCCCAGTAGGGGGTGTGCAGGAGGCAACTGATCAATGTTACTAACTCTCTACTCCTCTCCTCTCCTCTTTGTAAAATCAATAAAAAATATATTTTTAAAAAAGAATATCAGAAAAAAAGATGAGTTACTAACATAACTTTAATGAATCTCCAAGTATTTATGAAACATAATTAAAGCAGAAAAATACTTAGAAAAATAAAGTTCTCTAAATCCTTGAAAACTATAAAATCTGTGAAGAACAGGGACAGGTTAAAATAGGTCATGAAGCAATTACACAGTGAAACATATGGTCAGCAATATGAATATAACTAGAGGCCCGGTGCACAAAAATTTGTGCACTCGGGGGGGTCGCTCAGCCCGGCCGGTACCCTCTTGCAGTCTGGGACCCCTGAGGTGTTGTCCACCTGCTGGCTTAGGCATGCTCCCTGGGGGAATGGGCCTAAGTGGGCAATCAGACATTACTCTGGCAGCCAGGGAGCCCTCAGGGGAAGTCCACTTACCAGCGGGGAGCAGGCCTAAGCTGCAGTTGGAAATCCTTAGCACTACTGAGGAGGCGGGAGAGGCTCCCACCACCACTGCTGTACTGGCAGCCGTCAGCCTGGCTTGTGGCTGAGAAGAGCTCCCACTGTGGGAGCGCACTGATCACCAGGGGGCAGCACCAGCATTGTGCATCTGCCCCCGGTGGTCAGTGTGTGTCATAGTGACATCATTCCCAGTCGTTCTGCTGTTAGGGTCAATTTGCATATTACCCGTTTATTATATAGACTAGAGGCCTGGTGTATGTGGAGGCTGGCTGGTTTGCCCTGAAGGGTGTCCCTGATCAGGGTGGGGGTCCCTGGCCAGCCTGGGTGAGGGGCTAATGGCTGTTTGCAGGCTGGCCAAGCCCCCCGAGCCACCCAAGCTCCCAGTGCAGGCTGGCTGGAAGCAGCTATATGAGGTTTATTTATCTTCTATAATTGAAACTTTGTTGCCTTGAGCGGAGCTGACAGCCGGCCAGGGCAGGCGGGAAGCTTGGCTTCCTCCAACGCAGGGGCAACCAAGCCTCCTGCTTGCTCCAGCTCCATGGCTACCAGCCGCCATCTTGGTTCGGTTAATTTGCATATATTGCTCTGATTGGCTGGTGGACGTGGCCTGTGAGTGTAGCAAAGGCACAGCCAATTTGCATGTTTCTCTTTAATTAGATAAGATGATGGTTTCAGTTTCACAAACATGTCACGATTTCTGAAACACATGTAATTTACTCATAGCTGTTAAAAATGGTTCAAGGTAAAACAAATGTACGTTCACCTATTTTGGAAGAACAGGTTTGGCAACTCTATATTCAATCCATGTTCTCATGCCCTCAGGGTGAGAGTCTCAACTTAGTGACAGAAAATGTAATAAACAATGAAGAACTTTCACCCAAACCCACAAAAGCCACATTCCTGGTCTAAAGACCGCCATTGTCTCCCATCTTTCTTTTGATGCCAGCGAACCAATGGCTCTGATGGGAACTTCTGAGAAGCTACAGGAGCAACAAAACATCTTGATTGTAATCAATGACAATGACTGCTTCACAGAAGATAAACAAGCCTGGAGTCCCTCAGATCTGTGTACACACAACTCTTGTAGTCTTTTCCTAAAAATAATGCCGGGATGCACAGTTAGGTGAGGACCATTCCATCTAAAGGAGTGCAGTCTCATCCAACCACAATTAGGTCAGTGTTTCTGTAGTGAAAGGGTTCCCCCTGAATGCGATGGTCCTCAAACCAGTGACCATCACCCGTGATATTGTAGGCATTACGGCTTATGTCCCTCGGCAAGACCTGGGTAAGAGATTCACTTCATATGTATTGGCATCGCTTGCAAACAAGAAAAAAATTCATGTTTCCAGACACACTTGAGGTTGTCAAAGCTACACTCTCTTTGGAGTGATCTCTATGTGTCAAAGCATCCATATTCACATGAGAGGTAGAGTGTCCACAGTGTTTCCTAGGAAAATATGGGCAGTAGTGTAAATTTGCCAAAAACTGCTGAACTAATTTCTGTACCATACTGTTGCCCCATGGGCAAAAATGTTTGAGACCCCTAAAAGTTTTTCACCTCTTCATGCTTGGAAAGCCCATATCTCCTTATAAACTAACCTATTGAGTAAATAGAACACCCCAGATTAAAGAATTCTTAAGAAAAAGCCTTCATTATTTTACAATCCATAGAGACATGAGACTGGCAGTTGTTCCGTTGATGAAATAGGCACGCAATAAACTCATCATTAGCATCTAGGGAAAGTGTGTCCCTGAAAATGGCAGGCCCTCTGCAACATTATGTTTACTGTGGCCAACTGTAATGAGTCCTATTTGGCAACACAAGACAGGGAAAGAAGAAAGAACTAAGGACTCAGGTATTCCTCATTTCCATCAACAAATTAGAGTCTGACTTAGCTTCCCTGGGAATGGGAGGATGGTGACTGATGCCATCTGTAGGGACCTTATAGGTGGTTCAGGTGAATTACCTTCAGCAACAGAAATGTGCAGTGACACAGATCTGGCAGTACATCCTATATGTTAGAACGTGCAACATAATTACATAGTGTTCCAACATAAAAACACAGAAACACAACAGCAAAAACACTTATGGGAACTTTACATAATGTAGGTGATTAAATGTACGATACAATTCAGAAAAATGAGGACTCACAAATTTTCTTGTACTATTGTTAAGTCCTAAGAAACTACATTTCCTACACATTTAAGAAATTTCTCCCATTTGTACTCTTATGCGGAGAGGGAATTTAGAAATTTGGCTGAGAGATACCTCACATTAATTGCACTCTTAATAGCTTTCTCCAGTGTGAACTCTCTGATGATACTGAAGACCACTGCTCCTTTTAAAAGAATTCCCACATTCAGTGCATTTATAAGGCTTTTCTCCCGTATGAACTCTCTGATGTTGATCAAGGATGGTTTTAGTGGTAAAAGATTTTCCACATTCACTGCATTGATATGGCTTTTCTCCTGTATGAACTCTCTGATGTCGATCATGGATGGTTTTAGTGGGTAAAAGATTTTCCACATTCACTGCATTTATAGGGCTTTTCTCCTCTATGAACTACCTGATGGTAACGAAGGTAAGTGCTCCGGGAAAAAGATTTCCCACACTCAAAACATTTATAAGGCTTTTCTCCCGTATGAACTCTCTGATGAATACGAAGGGTAGTGCTCCGGGTAAAAGATTTCCCACATTCACTACACTGATAAGGCTTTTCTCCTGCATGAACTACCTGATGTCGATCACGGATGGTTTTAGTGGTAAAAGATTTCCCACACTCACTGCATTGATAAGGCTTTTCTCCAGTGTGATCTCACTGATGATATACGAGACTTTTTCTACACTTAAAAGGTTTTCCACATTCACTGCATTTATAAGGCTTTTCTCCTGTATGAACTACCTGATGGTAATGAAGGTAAGTGCTCCGGGAAAAAGATTTCCCACACTCAAAACATTTATAAGGCTTTTCTCCCGTATGAACTCTCTGATGAATACGAAGGGTAGTGCTCCGGGTAAAAGATTTTCCACATTCACTACACTGATAAGGTTTTTCTTCCGTATGAACTACCTGATGATCATGAAGACCAGTACTCCGTGTAAAAGATTTTCCACATTCAGTGCATTTATAAAGGTTTTCTCCTGTATGAAGTCTCAGCTGTCGATGAAGGTGGGTCTTAGTGGTAAAAGCTTTGCCACATTCACTGCATTGATAAGGTTTTTCTCCAGTGTGAACTCCCTGATGAAAACGAACGGTAGTGCTCTGAGTAAAAGACTTCCTATATTCACTGCATTTACAAGGCTTTTCTCCCATATGAACTCTCTGATGTTGCTGAAGGATGTTCATAGTGGTAAAAGGTTTACCACATTCCCTGCATTTGTAATGTTTTTCTACAGTGTGACCGCTCTGTTGATAATGAAAGCCAGAAAATTTGGTAAAAAATTTTCCACATTCAGAGCACACACAACACCCACTTCCAAGATGGAAATCTTTTTCCTGAATAAACGTGTGGGTGCAACTGTCTTTCTTACATTCTTTTCTGCTGAAATAATTTTTTCTACTTTGAAACGTCATCCCACGCATCAAAATAGCAGTTGGACTGTCCCCGGTCTGAGAAGCCTGTAGGTAGAGATGTCCAGATTCAGTAAGGACACTCTGCCCAACCTCCCCACAGGTGAAATGATTCTGGGACACATTGAAATTGCAGCTGTTTGCAAGTGACATCCTTTCCGGAATTCTAATGTAAGTCTGTTCTCTCACATGCTGCTGGTGAAATGTTGCACACAAAGAAAATCTTTTTGCACACGTTCCACACCTCAACAGTTTCTGTCTGTGTTGTGTTCCCTGCAGCTCCATCACGCGGAAAATGTTTCCCAGGACTAGCCCACAACTCTCACAGGGGTGGCTCTTCTGGGAAGACAAGGCTAACTTGGGATTCCTTGCCTGTGAAAATCTAACAGAAACCTTTTGTTCAGTCGGGGCCTCCACATTCTATTCTCCACAGCAGCAACCTGAACAAAAGTAAATGTAGGTGAAGTGCATGTTGAGCTGATAAAAACAGAGTATCTTCAACACAGATGTTTATCTGTCATGGCTGAACACGATTTCTTTCTTTCTTTTTATTTTTAAATATATTTTATTGATTTTTTACAGAGAGGAAGGGAGAGGGATAGAGAGTCAGAAACATGAGAGAGAAACATCGACAAGCCGCTTCCTGCACACACCCCCACTGGGGATGTGCCTGCAACCAAGGTACATGCCCTTGACCGGAATCGAACCTGGGACGTTTCAGTCCATAGGCCAACGCTCTATACACTGAGCCAAACCGGTTAGGGCCTGGATATGATTTCATACAATGATTTTCAAGACGACTGCGTCAGACTCTCAAGAAATGGCTGCTATATATATAACATGACTCAAAAGGTCACTGAATGAAGAAAATCTCACCAAGGGAGGACAAAAGCATAGGCTGGCACAAAAAGAAGAGAGGCAGTGGTCTGCCCATTATTACTCCACAAATGGCTTCCTTTAAGCCCTTTCATGCTGGCAATTCGAGTCTGTGTAGAATAATTCCAATGTGTTCAAAACCATAAATGATCAATCATATTAGAGCATGTGGTGTTCAGCGTCAATGTAATAATTCATGTGTACTGTAAGGCCTGCAGGCACAGAACAATATTGAAGTGCAGTAAAGCGAGATGTTTGAAAGAGGTAGGGGTGCAAAGTTTGGAGAGGTTAAGGGTATCCACAGGCTGGGAATCCCAATAGAATGATCACTATTAAAACTGAAACGTGCTGAACCGGTTTGGCTCAGTGGATAGAGCATCGGCCTGCTGACTGAAGGGTCCCAGGTTCGATTCCGGTCAAGGGCATGTGCCTTGGTTGCGGGCACATCCCCAGTAGGGGGCGTGCAGGAGGCAGCTGATCGATATCTCTCATCAATGTTTCTAACTCTCTATCCCTCTCCCTTCTTCTCTGTAAAAAATCAATAAAATATGATATTAAAAAATAAAAATAAAAACTTGAAAA